TTACAGAATTACAGATACATTTACATATTACAGAGAATTACAGATTTTGGCACTTGGTTGCAAATAGTATGACAACTTGGTTGCTAGATACAACTTCTGTAAATCCGATTTACAGACAGCATCATTAGAACTGTTGGTGTAATTGCAGATATAGACCATACTCAAGATTTAGTCAGAATTGTTTTTTGTATAAATGGCGGAATTATAATTTTAGAAATATCAAAATATACTTCAAAATTTTATCTAAATGGTTCATTTGCTTCCAGGACACAATTTCCCTTACAAAATGCTCTTGCCCTCACAACACACAAAACACAAAACACAAAGTATAAGCCTTTCATCAGTTTCAATTACACTAGATTCTGAAATATTTTCCCCAGGTCAGGCATATGTTGCACTAAGCAGATGTGCTTCTTGGGAAACCTTCAAATTATTTCATTTGATAAAAATGCAACTATAACAGATCAATCAATGATCCAAGAATACAATTGCCTAAAAGAAAAAATATCAATTCCTTTACCATTATAGACAATATTAATAATGTAATATTAGTATATTAAAACAATTATTTATTATTTATTAAATTTTAAAATCTTGCCAAATTTTTTAACTAGAAAAAAAAAATAAAATTAGAAAAAAAAAATCCTGATGACCAGCATATTCGCATACTCTAGTTTTTTTTAAAATTTCCAAATATTTATTTTGTCAAATTTTGTCAACTAACATCAATTTCATGTAATTTAAATACTCAAAATATTTATTTAAAAATATTATTAATATTGTAGAGCATACATCAAACATGTAATAACAAATAAATAAAATAAATAATAAACAATCTTTTGATGATTAAATACATTGATGTAAAAGATGACACACTTTTTAATCATTATCTTTTGTTATTAATAAAGTACTATAATTCTTGGGTTCCATGGTAGACCTAATAATGTAAATTAACTTAATCTTAACTATTTTTATATAGGGGCAATTCTATATATCACTTAATGTTAAGGAAAAAACAAAGATAACGAACAAATGGAAGATTTTAATAATCACATTACAAATTTTGATCCCTGAAATTCTTGGTAATACCAATGTTCATTTTTTCTGGTTTTGTTGCAGCATGCCCATATAATATTTCATATTAGTCAATTAATCAATTAATAATTCATCATCAATAATTAATTAAATAAAGCATTAAAAATAGAATAGAAAATGAAGGAGGAATAAGTTTTACAGAATTTTTGTATCAAATATTACAAGCTTATGATTTTTGGTATCTTTATCATAAACACAATTGCACTATTCAGGTAAAATAACATAAATACAATATAAATATTTTTTTTTGTTATTGAAATTACATATATTTACTTGTATGTTTATAAAAGTTGGGAGGA